ATCCAGTTTACTTAGGTATTTTTTATTTCTGCAAGCAATGTTGGGAAAACCCTAGCAACCATTGCTGACAAGCTGGCTGTCACATCAGCTATCCATTCCCTTTCCCTGGAGCCTTCTGGTGGGTCACTACTTCAGCAACAAAATAACCATTTGGTTTTGGCACATACTATCAGAATAGCATGGGCAAAACTGTAAAGAGAAATTCTAATACAGGAACCTGAAGGAGGCAGCAAAGATCAAGGTCTAGTATCATTCATTCATTCATTTTTGTTGCTGTTTTGTTTTTCAAGATAAGGTTTCTCTGTAGCTTTGCTGCCTGTCCTGGAACTCATTCTGTAAACCAGGCTGGCCTCAAACTCACAGAGATCTGCTTGCCTCTGCCTCCCGAGTGGTGGGATTAAAGGTGTGCACCACCCTTGCCTGGCTCATTCATTCATTTATTGAGGCAGGGTCTCTCTATGTATCCCTAGCAGGCCTGGAATTTGCTATAGACCAGGCTGAATGGAATTAAAGGTGTGCATTACCGCACTGGGCTCTTAGGTGCCTTTTCCTATGGACGTACACTGAGAGATTAAGATCCAAATCAGAAAGGCCTAATGTGGTAGAGAGCTAAAACGCCATTTATAAGGATGAAAATATCACTTATCAAACAAATGACATGTGAGGACCTCTGTTCATAGAGCATTATATCATGAGGACTGGTTTGAAACCAACTATTTGGTAGTATTTATAAACAATTCTACATGGTTACCACAGACTTACTGTTGGGCAGGATTGAGCCCGGTTCCAGATCAAATCAAACTTCTCTTTCTGCAAATTAGAAAAGAATAAAGTTAACTCACAAATAGGAAAACATGAAAAGTCACGATCAACTGAGTTTTCCAAGGCTGAATTCTAGAACTCTATTATGGCTGAAACAGGCTTTTAAGTTCTATCATTTACAAATTATCCTTATGACAAAAAGCAGGAAAAACCAGATGCATGCTTTGCTGCTCATTGCTACAAATTCTGTGTGAAGATGAAGTGCTTCATGCTTCAAAGTCTCCATGGAACCGGCTGAATCCAAGAGAGACTTGTGAAAGCCTGTTCAAACAATGAGTTGGAACGAATGATCTAAATCATAACAACAAGTACAGACTTTAGACTATGGAGTTCATGAAGACAAGAGTATATATGCGTAGGAAGTTAAAAAACAAAGGATAGGGATTTCTTCATAACCAAAAGGTCTGGCTTTTCCTTCTGTATGCATTTTCCTCCTTAATCTTACACATAAGCAAGTTGAAAATATAACTGTTCTTCAGTGTACTTTAAGGCTAGCCTCGAACTCACAGAGACCTATCTCTCAAGCACTGGGATTAAAGGTATGCACCACCATGCCTGGCGTAGAGTAAGATTTAATTTTAACTGGAGAAGACAGCTGTATCCTTTCTTAGTCGTAGACCTTAAGGGTAAGGCAATGGCCAGTGATCATCTCTAAGACAATTTCACCAAGGTAAAACCAAGAAAATGCCACTTGCTAAGGGGAAAACTGGAGAAAGGCCAGAAGGGAGCTCCAGGTCAGCTCAGGCATCTGCCATTTATAGACAAGAATGCTGGAGACAGTGTCTTGAATACCAGCAGTTTGGTTGGAAAATGAGAAGGAAATAAAATGTATCTGGAAACCACTCAGAAACATGAATTTACACTAGCCTCCCTGGTCAGAGACTTGGAAACATTTCTGAACCAGAAGGAGGGAAAGCAAAAGTCATAAATATACCACATGGAACATCCAATCTCTGGTGCTCAGGGCATAATAAAAACTCTTAGAGCTGTAAAGTGTAAGTTCTCAAGATGTCATAAACACAGGAAAAGTACAGGCAACTGCCCGAGAGGGCTAGAGCGCGGACCTTCATGCTGTAAAACTTCTACTTCCCCTTCAATTTACTTACAGGAATAACTGCGTAGACCGTGTCTTTTGCTGAAAAATACTGCTGCCAAATCTGTAATAAATAAATAAATACATAACTAATCTGTGACATATGGGTAATCTTTCCTTGTATGCCAAGGACTAGTGATAGCTTTCATTGGTCGAGAACTATTCTATCTGATAACAGGGAGGAAAACACACTGTAATGTCTTTACAACTAGTACATGATTGTAACAAATTTACTAACATATGCTCTTCTGAATGATTAAACTGTAATTCTTTAAAACTTCCTAAGATTCAGTTTTTAAAAATGTATATGTTTGTGTATACAGCACTATTTAGATGCCCTTGGGTTCCCTGAAGCTGGAGTTAAAGGCAGTTGTGAGCCAGCTGATGTGGGTGCTGGAAGCTGAACTCAGGTCCTCTGGAAGAGCAGAAAGTGCTCTTCACTTGTGAGTCATCTTTCCAAGCCCCAAACTGTACCTCTTAATAACTCTGGGGGCTGGAGAGATGGCCTAGTTAACAGCATCTACTGTTCTTGAAGAGAACCTGAGTTTGGTTCTTAGCATCCATCAGGCAACTTATGACTACCTGTAATTCCAGTGTCAGGAGACCAGTGGGATCCCAACCCTCTGGCCTCTGCAGGCTCCTGCACTCATGTGTACATACCCCCAGACAAGCAGACAACTGAAAACAATAAAAAGGCCTGGAAAGATGGCTCAGCAGTTAAGAGCACTGGTTGTTCTTGCAAAAAACCTGGGTTCAATTCCTACTGCTTTTATGGCAGCTAACAACCATCTGTAACCTCAGTTCCAGGGGATCTGACACTCTTTTGGCTTCCACAGGTACTGCATGCAGATGGTGCACAGATCTACATGCAGGCAAAACACCTATACACATAAAAAATAGTAATAAGATTAAAAAAATAACAAACTCTTGTCAAAGAAATTGCTTCTAGATTTCTGAAATAATTGTTCTCAGGATAGATCTTGTTGGTGATAGGTTTTTAGCAGGTTCTTTATCCCTTCCCAAACCCACCCCTCCCGAGTCAACTGTGGGCCTTCTCAGGGAGCAAGGATATGACCCTTTCAGAGTTTAGGGTCTATAGTCAACGGCCTGGGAGGCAAATGGTAGCCCTGATAATTTACTAGCTATTCTACCTTGGGCAAATCACTGAAACTTCTTAAATAATATCACTAAAACAGCAGTGATGCCAACCTCTCAGGGTTGTTATGAAGACTGACTGAACCAATAGAACCCCAAGACTGGCAGAATAGACACTAAAAATCACACCAGCTTTTATTGCTATATTTTAGGCAGCTCTTAAAATTTTGCTTCCAGAAAGTTCTACATATCAGGAAGAGATAGGGTCTGCTGGGTCTGACTAGACTACATAGTGGCCACAAGTCCTACCCCTCCTCCTGGCATCAAAGAAGGCAGAGGGTATAGCTGACTTTCATGATGCAAATACCCAAAAGTAGTGAATAGGTTTACATAGTGTAAAATTAGAGAACAGGGAAAAGGAAAAAAATAAATCCAGTTTTATAAACCTAGATGAGTTATTCTGGTGTCTAAGAAATACGTTTTTATGAAGTATTATACAGACATCGTAGCCATGCACTATTCCCCTTCAGCACATCATATGCACGTTTGCCTGTACTTTTCACTCCTATTGACTTTATTATCCCCCATGCCTTTTCACATTACTGGTTTTTACTGGAAAGCTTTCATTTTCCTATCTCTCATTTCCTTCTCCACCAATTCTTCCTAACATTCAAGGCTAAGTTTATATGCTCCCCCCCATTGTAATTTTCCTTCATTGCTTCAGTCAGAAGTTTTCCTATGAAATGTTTGCACCTCATGTCTCTCTAATGATCGTGCTGGCTACTTCTGTGTCAACTTGACAGAAGAGAGTCATTTGGAAGAGGGAGCCTCAGTTAAGAAAATGCTCCCACCAGACTGGCTTGTGGACAAACCTATGGTGCATTTATGTATATGACTCTTGTGCCTGCATATATGTATGTCACTGTATTTGTGCTAGGTTCCTAAGAAGTCAGAAGAATGTTGGATCCTCTGGAACTGGAGTTATAGATGGTTGTGAGATACCATGTGGATGCTGGAAATCAAACCTGGGTCTTCTACAAGAGCAGTAAGTGCTCTTAACTGCTGAGCCAACCCCCCAACATTTTCTTAATTTTCTTCGTGATCGATGTGGAAGGATCCAGCCTATTATGGATCTTGCCATCTGTCAGAAAAAAAAAAAAAAACAACCAAAACCAAAACAAACCAAAATAAAAAAAAAACAACCAACAAAAAAAACCAGGCTGAGCGAGGAAGTAAGCAATCCAACAGTATTAGATGATTGTGATGCTGGGATATAGCTCGGTAGCAGAGAACTTGGTTAGCATGCATGAGGTCTTGGTTCAATTCCCAGAATTGCTGGAGGATTGAAGCAGGGCTTGCAAGGGAAGGAAATTTGATTTATACTTTTCCACTTGTTACTTCCTTTTTGACTGAGAAATTTGAATATAGGTATATATAATAGAAAATAGGCATATAAATCAAACATTTACTGATAATAAATCATAAAGAAACATTCAAAATAATTCTCTCACATACATATAATTGTATACTATTGAGAGGGGTATGCTTATTTTTAAACAAATAACTGAATCTTGGCTGGAATTTGATATTATAGGATATAAAGAATCTTCAGTATGCTTCTGGTTATATTTTTTTAAATTTAAAATTGCCAATGTTGAGAACACTGCTTTGCATAAATATTCATTTTTAAACCCCATGTCTTTAAATTGAGAAAAACAGCACGTATTTCCTAGGGTGGACATTAGAATTTAACGAAGAAATACCAGTGAAGCAATAAGCATATGACTGCCTGTTTTATTATTCTTTTATTACTATGCTGTTAATCAGCACATACACTTAAAATATGACTCTTGGAAGTATAAAGAATGCTCAAATAGTTTCATACAGGCTAGAGAGAAAAAAACCTATTTTAAGGTATAAAAAAATGCAACAAACACCAGGCAGTGGTGGTACATGCCTTTAATCCCAGCATTTGGGAGGCAGAGGCAGGTGGATCTCTAAGTTTGAGGCCAGCCTGATCTACAGAGTGAGTTCCAGGACAGCCAGGGTTACACAGTGAAACCTGTCTCAAGAAGAAAAAAAAACTCCAACAAACAAACAAACAACAACAACAAAAACAACAAAACAAGCCATGCAAATCAAGGTACATAGAATGACGAAGAGGCAGGAGAGATCATGAGTGCTTCCTACGGGAAGGTTCAGGAAGCTTCTAGAGAAGGTCCTTAGGACACAATGCTAAGGAAGTGAACACAGGGTTAGGGGAGTGGTTGTCACTGGACACCTGCAAACAAGCTCCCAACACAGTAATTTTTCATTTATTTTAAAACATAGCTATAGCACTTACTCTGTGCCAGGATTTGTTCTGAGTGCTTCACAAATGTTAACTCTTAATTTTCAAATGGCTCAAGAAGTAGGTGTCCAGTAGTTATCACTTTACAGTGGTGCTTTAACCAGTACACTATCTTCTCTGCAAGGCAAGCAGAACCTTAAGCACACTCAGCTACGAGAAGGTGCAGTGGGTGCAGGGAAGGCGACCTGCAGGACAGCTCTGCTCAGCTATCCATCAGCACTGCCCAGGGAGCCTGTTGGAAAGGCAGTGCAGTGATCCAGGTATAGAGTTCTGATGATTTAAATAGTACATGGGCAACAGGAAGAAAAAAGAAAGGGCAAGCCTAAGTTGACTAGACATATGAAAGCATCTGGGATAGAAAACGGTGTCAGAAAAATGTGTGACCTTTTCTGTTCTCAGACTTGCTCAGAGCACATACTTCCAGGGAGTATACCTACTCATTTTCATTTATTACCTGTTTTATTTCCTCTGCAGTTTTGTCTTTCACCATCTCAATGTTAAAGATTGAACTGAGAGTCTTGAAAGAAAAAATAGCAATTAATATTTACAATTAACAACAACCCCAGCTTAATTCTGTCTAAAGCCTTGTAGAAAAGAATGTCAGCAGCGAAGCAGATTTTAGTAGGTACAGAATAAGCATTCGACACTCACATGCTCCGAGAATGTGAGTCTCTGCTCCCACACAGACCTTCACAGTTCTATTCCTGGGGAGTAGCTATTAGGTCATCAAGTGCTCCCCAAATGCTTGTCTCACCAGTGAGTCCTGCAGCACTTTGCAGCTGGTGAGAAAGAAGAAACCCTGGCTGCTGTTCTACCAGGAAGCTCCTTATCTGCACAATAAAGGGCAGGCTACAAATGGTGTTTTGATTTTGAAAGTTCCTTTCTATAGAAAGGAGAACACTCATTTCCTTCCATTTCTTGTAGCCTCCTTGGATTCACACTGAAGCTAGGGGTCATGTCAAGGACACAAAAATCTAGAAGTATTTCTCATCTCTACTGTTGAAAAAAAAATCACCTTATACAAAAAAAATCACTGAGCACAATAAATATGTTCAAATTTGCAGTCTCTTATTATAGATGTCCCATGTGACTTCAGACTCGGACTTCGGTATTTAATTAGAAACCTACCTTGTCCTTAGTGAATCCTTTGCTCACAGGCTGTTTCCCTGAGGCATCTGTCTGAAATACATGATGAGACAGGCTATTAAACTATCTTTCCTCATAAAAAAGGAAAAAAAAAAAAAAAAAAGAAAACCAAGTCACAGAAGTACTCAATCTCATTAAGTAATTCTGTACCTAAGAATTTACTTCTATCCACTCTTTATAACACCATACATACTATTCTAAGAGTTATTGTTTATAGATAATTTTCCTTCTACTAAGATCCTGAGATGCAAAGATGAGAAAGGGGTTGTTAGTAATCACTGAATCCCAGTATGAAAGTTCAATCTAATTCATGTGTTCCTTTACATTTCTTTTTGGGCTTTCTGTGCTTGGCCCTCTGACCTATTCCACACCAGCCATAGTGTGGGAAATAGAGAGATGTATTTTCTAAAACTAATTATTTCTGATAGCATTTCTTGTGGTAGGTGTCATCAACATTCTAGAATCCTGCTGAGTTCTCACTCTCTCTATTAATTCAGCTTCTGGTGATGGCTAATAGTCCCTGCTACACTGACTGGACTGTAAGGTGCCCAGGGACTTGCAGAGCACACCTCTGGTCAGTGTGAGATGGCATTTCCTGAGATGATGAGGTCATGAGGGCTCTGACCTGATGAATGGATTAATCTTCTGTTGGATTCATTGTATTATGAAATTGGGAAGTGATGAAGGATGGCTAACCTGAGGATGTATGTCATAGGGTCATGTCCTTAGGGGCTCTACCTTATCCCGGTCTGTTCTCATAGTCCCCTCTCTCCGATTCCTGAGCCCACACCCTAGTTGACATGATGTGCTGACACGTTTGAAACTGTGTGCCAGAACCATGTCCTCACTAATCCATCCATCATTCTGTCACAGAAACTTGGTAACAACTAACACACTTCCTCACTAAAGGGCCAGAAACGACTGAAAGTGGCCAAACCTGGCTGAAGTCGCTCCTGAATTTGTTCCATGCATCTCCCAGCTTGGAAGTTTTGAAATTATAGGTTGTAAAATCAATTTGGTGGATTGTCATCAGAATTATTCAGAAAATGAAACTAAGAATGGGCTCCCCAGGCATGATGGCTCACACCTGCAACACCTGCGATCTGAGCACATGGGAGGCCGAGGTGGGGAGGGCCCAGGTGAGACTGGTCTACAGGGTGAGAGCCAGCCTAAAAATAGAATAGGAATGTATTACATATCACAAGAGCGCTGTCCCATAAAAAATGTGTATGTTATACATGTGTATTCTAAGTAGCAGTGTAAATGTATTTCCTACTGCGGGTTATGGTCAAAGAGTTTGGAAAGCCTTGTCCTGGGTAGTTATACACACAGCTTTCCACGTGCTTTCTCCAACTCTGACTGCTCAAGGGTCCCAATGGCTAAGAATACATTAAGTTCTGATGATACTAGTTCACTCGATCTTTAGCATGATTCTGTGAGAAAGGTGTTAATAATATCATTTCTAATTCACAAATAGGCAGAACCGAGGCAGAGAGAAGTCACACAATCTGTCCATAATTACCGAGCTGGTAGCTAAAGGCTGTGATTGAGCCCCTGGCATGTGCTACCAGACCTGTCTTCTCAGCAGGGAAGCCATCTACCTCACTTCTTACATTCAATTGCCTCTGCAGTCATGTGTACATATTCACATGCACACACACCTACATACAGCAAAAAAAAAAAAAAAAATCTTGCTGGGTGTGGTGGTGTACGACTTTATTCCCAGCTACCAGAAAGTAGACACAAGAGAATCTATGAGTTCAAAGTCATCCTTGTCTACATGGCAAGTTCCAGGCCAGATTGACAGTGAGACCCTGTCTTTAAACTCTGGACCTCTACTGTAAACACTTCCCTGCTCCCTATAGCCCAGTGCCATGTGTACCTTGATTTGATCACTAGACTGCATTCCTTGTGAGCAGAGGCCATCCTTTCATTCCTCTACATTCCATCATGACTACAGGATCTTGCCCAGAAAGAACAGAACATGCATTTATTGATGAAGATCAGATGTTCAGGTTACTACCATCTCACCCATCAATGAGATCACTTCAAGGGTAAGGGCTGAGAGGAATGCTAGTAAACTTATAACACACAAAAGGACCAGGAAGGCCTTACCTTCTGCTCCACACATCTGATAAACTCACTTTGTTTGGAGTGCCCCACTGGTTGCTTCCGAAACTCACTGCGCTTCTCCAGGCGGGACTCAAAGGCAGCTGGGTCGGACCTGCCCAAAGGGAAATCAAAGGAATTTGAAATAACAAAGCATCATAGATCACATCCACAAAGACAGGACACAGGCATTATGAAGGTTTGCTTTCAGTTGTTAAGAACTGGGCATAAACCTGGAAGTCAAGAAAATGGAAAACAAAGCCAGCTCATCAACTATTAAGCCTCAACATTTTTTATCTCTTGCAGATTATTCCCAGGTGATGCATATGTTAGTTTCAGATACTTAAACATTGTAGATACTTATACTACTCAAGATAGAAAGAATACTTTAAGTCATATCGCTGGATCAGCTCTGCAGGCAGAAATCCTGTAGCACTCCTACTAGGTGTTAAGCTTTTACCTGAATATATTTAATTTTTGGCATCTCCCTCTATCCCTACCCTCAGATCCTGGGCTCCAAGTGAGTGCTTTGGGAGAAGAGTTAGTACCCAGTATCTCCCTGACCTATCCTCCAGAGAACCTGCAGACAGAACATCAGAATTCGCCTTTTATCTTAAAATGGGGACGCTCTTCTGGCTTGAAGGCCAAGCTGGGGCTGCCAGGAATACTTCAGAATGTGTAGCTGACCACGGATGTTTGGCTTTATATGCTAAGATGAAAACATCATCCTAGCTACTTGGCTGGGAGACACACAACACCATGGGTGAGGAGATAAAGTCATCTTGTTTAATCCTTTGGTACACCTTCACAGTCAAGACATATAGGGTACTCTCTCTTCCATTTGGATGTGACACCAAATGTCACTCTTTTCATTACTATGTAGATGGGCTGACCTTTTTCTTTCTGTCTGGAAGGACTAGGTAAGCGTGGCTAGCAGTCACAGATGTACCTGAGCTTGCCACAGTGGGGCACCCTGGGCAACAGAGCTCTTCCTAGGCGCCAGGGAAATATAGAAAATAACTAAGACATCGTCCTTACTTGAAACTTACTATCTAGTTGCAGATACGTAAATATGTACATGAGCACTACTGATCATTAAAACAAAAAAGTGCACAACAGCCCTAAATGACCGAGGTGGTTTCATGACTGTACTTTCGACTGTGTTGTTCTCATATCTGGAGCACATTTCACCCTTCCCATCCCTCCATTATCTTCGAGCTAGACCTAGACCATACTATTCGAAGTTTTGGTACTACATCAGGCGAGAGAGACTAGCAGGAGCTAGGGTGTGAAAGCTTTATGCGGAACACTAAGCTGTTTGGACACAGCACAGAATTCGATGGGCCATGTTCTGGAATATCAGTAGGTATAATTGTTGATGGGAATGACCTAGAGAAAGGAAAGAAATCATTATGGGCTCTTGAGTAAGGGTGAATGGAACCGCTAAGTATTCAGAGTGCGAGCAGACATCTCTTTGAAGATGCTGGTGGGTAAAAGATCAGTGAGAAATGGGTGGGGAGAACTGTGGGTCAAAAAACTATTTTAAAATAACAAATATTTGAGAATATCTAATGTTTGAAGGACAGTAAAAGTGCCCATTCATTTGTTTCATCGTTGCTTCAAAAAGTGTGACAGATCACGATGTTCATGTAAAGGGGACGGGAGGAGGGTTCCAAGACTAGAAGGGGTGAACGCTAGGTAGTTAGAGGATGATGTTGTACACGTGAAGAAGAAGAAATTAAGGGAGTGGAACTAAAATGAGACAAAATGCAGAGTTTACAGTCCTTTCAAATTGCCTTCCGACACCACCAAACTCTCTCTCAAAGCCCCTTGTCCATTTCGACCTTCAACTCATCCACCCGGAACTAGGCACCCACTATACCTATCTTAACAGCCATGACCCTACCCCATTTCTCCCGCTCAGTGCTGGGGATGCAACTCAAGGCCCTGCGCATCTTAAGCAAGTGCTCTTCCGCTCTAGGTTTTACCTTCTGGAAGCTGAAGCATTAGGAACCCTGGTTTGCGTCAGGCAAACCATAAGCAACTGTGCGACCTCCAGCAAGCCTCCGCCTCTCTCCAGACCCCCTACATTTCCTTAGTGAACGGGTTCAATGGGCGATCCAAAAGTAATTCTACTAGTTTTTGCAGCACTTTTCCCACTCCCGGTCTCCTCTCCGCTCAGCCAGGGACATCAGCTTGGAGCCTGGGAATCTGATCTCTTGGCCAGGTGTCTGCTCTGATTCAACATATGACCTTGAGCAAACCAAGTGCCTTTTCTGAGGGCTTCATTATCACATTTCTACAGAGGGGACAACTCTCTCGGAGCTGTCTTCCTCAAAGGGCTTTAATTAGAGTTCACCGGAGCCGTTCTGAGAACCAAGCACAAGGACAACTGTGGGAAGATCCAAAGGCGCTGCAGAGACCAGCGATGTGACCTTAGGCAAGGGACCTGGCCTCTCTGAACTAGGAAACAAACTATTGGGATAGTGGGGACACTACAAGCCCACCAAGGAGGGTAGTTTAGTAGTAGATGACGGAAGCTCTGCCCGCGCGCCTCGAGTGCCCACCCCCAACGCCCCGCCGGTCAGTACCGCACCTGCGCAGCTGCTGGATCTTGTCCCGGTAGCGGTCGTAGAAGGGGTTAGCTTCCAACTCGCTGACCCCGCTGCCGTCTGCTCCCCCAGAGGGCAGGCCGGAGCCCCGGCGTACCGGGAACACGCGCAGCTGCGCTGGTGACACGAGCCCCAACCCCAGGGCGCGGCTGCGAACTGCACACAGACCCCGGTAGAGGCCGGCCACCTGCAGGACTGCGGGGCACGCTCCACCCGCAGCAGACACCACGGCCGCCATGGCCGCCCGCGCCTCCCCCTCCCCCTCCTCTGGGGCGTCAGCCTCGGCCCCCGGCCCGCACGCCTGCTCCATCGCCTTCAAGGTCCGTGACGCCCGTGTTCCGCCACCGAGGTTCCGCGCGCGCAAGGTTCCGGGTGCCGGAGTGGAGAAGGGCAGCGACGCTAGGGGCTGGTGGCTCTCCTCTCTGCCCACAGGCTCTGTGGGTGTAGTGGTGTGTCTCCTCCTAGGAGTCTGCCGGGATTCACGTCCTTCCTCCCGGGACCAGCAGCCTCTGCGCGCCAAGCTTCTAGAAAACTGGCTTGGATCTTCGGGTCCTCGCTGGATTCGCCCCTTTTCTAAATTTACTTGGCTCTAGCTGTTAACAGTTCCTTTAGCAGCAGAGGATGTTTGAACATCACAGCTGAAGCTTCTCTTTTTTGGTTTCTATTTGCAGAAGGTCCCATTGGCCTCATACCCTATGAAGTAGGCACTACCCTCATTTTACAGACGGGGATGCTAAATTGGCTGTAAGTCATTAAAGCACGAATTCCACCTAAGAGCTGAACTATTTTTAAAACGCAGTGTCTCTGAAGTCTGGTTCCTTCTGTTTCTGGCATGTAATTAAACTACTCTCAGAGATGCTAGGCATTGCCCTTGACAAATCTTTATTCAGACTCTGTTTTCATCCTTAGAATGTGTTGGTTCCCCCACTTCCACCGAACTAAAATGTCACCATAGTCTTCACCTGTTGAACAAGATGTGAGCTTGGGGACAATGACATCATCTCCGTTTCACCTGCAGCCAGCAGTGTACCCTATGTGAGGGCAGCCACATGGAAGTCCTTATTTGGGCCTCGGTTGATAGGAACTCTTCCTGTGGCAGGAGCAGAGCCTCCAAACTTCAATGCAGCCTGCTGTTAGACATGAGACACCCAATGCTGGGACACCGCAGTGTGATTCTGAAAGTCTCGCTTTGCTGCTCTGCATCTGGCTCTGGATTCCTGTGCTCAAATAAGGCAACCACTGCCTTCCTCCTCCTCATCTAGAACTCCGTTTACATCTCAGCACCTCAGAGAGTCCTCTCTTGATGAACCTCTCCACCACTGAAAAAAGTATGTGCGTTGGGGTTGGGGAGACAATTGTGTGGCAGGCAGAAGACAATTTTGAGGACAGTTTTCTCTCCTTCCTCCTTTCCATGGTTTCCAGGGATCCAGCACAGGTCACCAGGCTCACATGGCAAGTGCCTTTAACTGCTGAGCCGTATCACCCCCATCTCCCTTTAGAGTATTTTTACTTGACTTCACCCTGTTACCGCCCTCTCCTTTTTTACAGAAGTCATCGCTAAAACTTTAGACCTGTGGTGGTCTGAGGGAGGACTACCCCATAGACTCGGGGTTCTGAACACTTGTTCCCCTGTTAGGGAGGCTGTGAACCTTTAGGAGGCAGAGCCTTTCTGGTGGAAGTGTATCACAGTGGGCAGGCTTTGAGAGTTTGTAGGCTTGCCCCACTTCCAGTTACTGCATTCTGCTTCCTGCATTTGGATAAGGATGTGGTCTTTCAGCTTCTTGCCGCATCCTCCTGCTGCCGCGCTGCCTCTGTCATTACGGACCCTCTCTCTGGAACTCTAAGCCAAAAAGATCCTTGTTCTATAAATTGCCTCAGTCATGGTATCTTTTTTTTTTATTTTTGTTTTTAATTTCTCCTATGGGCTTGATGTTAACACTAAAGTAGATTCTGATTTTGACTCTTAATACAGTACATTGTTATACACATTTACATAATATTTGCAGAATCTCTCTTTACCAATTTTTTCATGCTGGCTGTGACCTGAAGGAAATTTCCTTTTAATTTTTTTATTAAAAAAGAAAACAAACTATCTTCTTTCATTCTGCATACCAATCCCAGTTCCCACTCCCTTCACCTTCTTCCCCACCCTCACCCGCACCCCATCCACTTCTCGGAGAGGGTAATTTTTTTATTAGAGCAACAGAAAAGTAACGAATGTAAGCACAATGCTTACATAAATCCATGGAGTTTACATTTTAGTGGGGGAAGGATAAAGTGACAATGCTCGTATGTAGAAAAAAACAAAGGGCGAGGAGAGACACAAACAGGGGCATTGCCCGAGCACAAGATCTGAGTGAGTGAGGAGACAGAGGCAGAGTTGAGGCCCATGGGTGGCTTTGGAGGCTGTGGCTAACTGGCTTTTATCCAAGCGGGATGGGAAATTGCCATAGGCTTTGAGCAGAGGAGTAACATGGCCTACTTTCAAAGGGTCATCCTGATGGTGGAATTTGCTCCAGTATGTGAAGCAAATATGGAAACTTCTAAGGGTGAGTAATTTTCCTACTCTAAAACCAAGAGTAAGTATAACTTAATTGAAAGTAAAGAAGGATGACAACCAAGCTGTTGGGGATGTGACTCTAAAGTTCCAAGGTGTGTTCCAGGCTGGAGGGATGAAGTTGTGAACTATCGTGGTGTTTGTGTTCTTTAATGTTAGGAATGCGGATAAGTTCCCTGAGGAGGGAGTGTAGATAGAATGCTAACACTTAGAGACCAGGAGAAAAGGAAAGCACCAACAAGGCGGAGGAAAAGTGGGGGCAATAGGTAGAACAGAACTCTGTAAACAGTGCTGCTCTGGTTTGAATCTGAAATGACCTCAACGAGCTCAAAATACCACCTGGTGGCACTATTTTGGGAGGCTGTGGAAACTGTGAAGAGGTTGGCCAGAAGGTCGCAAAGGGCAGGACTTTGAAGGTTATGGCTCAGACCTGGGCTCTGGCCCTGCACTGAGCTTCCCGTTTGCTGCGATGTGAGCGCCATATGAGCAATGCTCTTCTACCACACGTTCCTCTGCGGCTGCATCTTCTGCCACACGTTCCTCTGCGGCTGCATCTTCTGCCACACGTTCCTCTGCGGCTGGGTCTTCTGCCACACGTTCCTCTGTGGCTAGGTCTTCTGCCACATGTTGTCTGCGGCTGGGTCTTCTGCCACATGTTCCTCCGAGGTGGGGATGTTCTGCCCATCCACATGGGATCAGGCAACTATGGACTGAACCCTCTGAACCAGGAGCTAAATGAAACCCTTCCTCTTTACATGGTTTCTGTCTGGTATTTAGGTCAGGGAAATACAAAAGCAACCAAGAGTGTCTCAAGGCACAATGGGGGCTATAAAGAGAAAAACTAAATGGTAAGAATTCAAGTTAGGACAGGTTGGTATATCCTTCTGTAGGTTGATTTAGGCTTAACTTGCAAGGGCTTTCTAACTGAGCTGCCCATAAATAGATCAAGCTATCTTACGAAGCGATAAGCAAGGCCCTAGCTTCAATAAATCCTGGGAGATTGGTTGCTGGGTAGGTGAGCCCTGGCCTCCTCAGGGCTCAGGCAACCTGAAGGGAGTTGGACTAGACAACTCTTCTGGGAAGAGAAGCTACTTGTTATACTGCAGGGGATTAGGGGGGTACTCAGTGGGAAAATGAGAAGCATGAGCAAAACTCCCAAGGTGGTGTGTGTGTGTGTGTGTGTGTGTGTGTGTGTGTGTGTGTAGGGGAGGGGCTCTGTTGGGCTGGCCAGAAGGGAATGGAGTGTGAAGGACAAGGAGGGAGGTTAGGCTGGAAAAGACTGGAGGAGATTCCTGCAGGGCCCAAGACACTTGCCAGCACTTGTTGAAGAAATGAAACATAAATAAAAGAGACTGTAGGAGCCAAAGGAGGTGCTGACTACTTGGTTCCCTTGAGCCAGTTTTCTTCTGACAACTTCGCCCAAGATTTGTTGAGGGCAGGCGTGCCCAGTGTTCTGTGTGCTCTCTGTCCCAATTGGCATTGGGGAAGGTATCCAGAGATGTTTCCTTAATCATTAACTACGTGGTTAGCTCCTTGAGAGTGCCAGGGCCCTTTCCTGGGGGCTAGTTCTACTGGTTCACTGCAAGGGTGAGGGCAGACAACTCTCCTGGTGGCTTGGTCTTTGGTAGAAGCAGTAGGTAATGTTTATGAGATGCCACTGGATGGGTTCCTCCCATCCATTAACAGGACTACTCCACAAACATGGCCCCTGGAATGCCTGGTGGACAGAACCCGGTGACCTTTCCTTTAGGGAACAATGAGGCCTGGGCCTTCTGAGGACTCCTATTGGTGGAAAGAATTTCTTCTCCCCAGAGCGATAGGCTGGACGCTAAGGCTGACCTTTATGGATTCCCAAAAGGAGGACCTGAGCCTCCCTGACAGTAAGTAAGGGACCTCTAGTCCCTGCCCCTCACTTTGTGCCCTTAACATGGGGGACAAATAGGGAAAATATTTTGCATGGACAAAGGAGTAGTGGCTGCTTGGGGTGCTAAGCAATTAGATGGTAATCTTTCCTAGAAACATAGGACTCCTGAGATGCCGACTTAGCTCTTATGATTTCTAGACCTAGTGTTTCTTATCTGTAAATAGCTAAAATGGTCCTTTAAAGTAACTTGGAAGTCTAGCAAGAGAATGAGGAGGGAGGGAAGGAGTTGAGAGAGTAATGGTGTTGAGGGCAAGAGAGGCATGAGGCCTTACTTGAGCACATCAGATTTCTTTCTCACTGCCTTAGTGTGGATCTCCTTGTGCGTTGGATTCCTGGGGTCCTCGCTAATAGGCAGCTGCATACTCTTTCTGCATTGGAAGAAGAACTTGCAGAGAGAAGAACACGCCCAGCAGTGGGTGGAAGTGATGAGAGCTGCCATGTTCACCTACAGCCCACTGCTGTACTGGATAAACAAGCGGCGTCACCATGGCATGAACACAGCCATTAATACTGGCCCTCCCTTTGCTGGCACCAAGACCGAGACTGAAGTTCAGAATTCAGATTCTTTATGGGAGCTGGAGATCTCTGAAGGTGGGAACTGTATTGTGCAAGACAGCAGTCCTAGAGGTGAAGCCGCTGGTCCCTTGCGACATGCTTTGGTGGATCCAAAGCAGCCCCAGCCTTCAACAATGCCACAGCCTTGGACTGACTCCCCAATCCCATTACCCATTTTTCAAGAGGCGCCCTTTGCCCTGTCCCTCCGCAACCTGCCTCCCATGCTGAACCACTCTGTCTCCTACCCTTTGACCAACTACCCTGAGAAGAAAGCTCATTTCTGTTCCCTCCCCATACTGGCCCATGGAACAAACTGTTTTAATGACAAGCCCTTTGCTTCAGAACTGTAGTCTCTTCTCATTGAGGGTGGGAGCTGCAGGTACCAAAGGCTCCTTTTTGGTAGAAAGCAGAAATAACCTCAAGGTTATTTGGTATTGGCAAAGAGGTTAGAGCCATCTGGACATCACATCAATAAATTTTTTTTTTAAAAAAAGTCTAAGTCTCTCCCCTGTCTCATTAGTTCCTAGAAGGACAATGTCTTTAGCATGTGACTATAGCACTTTGCAAATCAATCTGGTCACGAGTTTCACTGTTGCATGTTCCGGGAACTGAATGAAGGTTAGCATTTGGGAGACACGCTGAACCAATACTTGTGGCTGGACTCAATATCCCTCCAGCCAGTATTCAAGCCCAAACGAGTGCTAGGCTCTGACCTAGGCAGGCCTCCAGACACTACTGCTCAGCAGGGTTGGGAAGCACAGGGGCCATAAGAGGACATTGTTGGAGGCTGTGGTGACCCACGCTGGCTATGCCATAGGCCTAACAAATGCCAAGACAGTATAGCTGGACTGTTATTTGCCATGTATTGATTCTTAGATGGCTGTCTTTGTCCTGTATTTCTAATATCCCCAAGCATGGTGCCAACCAGCTGCTATTCAGATCCTCCTGTCAGGAGATGCAGACTCGGGTTCTCCGTGCATATGCCTTCACTGTTGCATGGCTAGCTCTCCAGTTCACATTTTTTTCTGGCATCTAACTTCCTAGTAATTCTACCTACCATACCCCACGGTGTATTTGCATGTCTTGTTAGAACACTGATTAAAAGCATTAGTGTGTGGAGGTTGTCATTAATTGACAGACTGGTTGGTCAGTGCATCTTCTAGAATTACACCTAGTTTGTATCTTATCCTTCCTTTCCTCCTCTACTCCCATCTTCTTTGAGATGGGGGCTCACTATACTCCAGGCTGGCTTGCGTAGGTAGGCTAACCCTTAAACTCCTGCTCCTCCTGCCTCAGTCTTCTGAGTGCTGGATTTCAGGTTTGCATCCTCATACTTGGCTTAATTGCTTATATCTTTCTTTAAATTTTTCTTTAATTTTATGTGTATGGATGTTTTGTCTTCATGTATGTCTGTGCGCATGGAAGCGAGAAGAGGACATTAGATCTCCTAGAACTGGAGTTACAGACAACTGTGGACCTCTATGTGGGCGCTGGGAATTGAATCTGGGTCCTCTGGAAAACCAAGCAGTGCTCTTAACGACTGAGCCACTTCTATAGCACCATTTCTATCTTTCCTAAAGATAAACATGGCGCCTCAGAAGATCCATTACATGGGAATGTTACCATCTTCTGCAAACAACCCTTAAAGGACTGATGATTAACACTGCCTTTAACACTACCAGTTCTAGGATTAGGAGTGGCTCAGCCACAGAATAGGAATTTCTCCTTTTCATCCCCTGCTCCCCCCGAACCCAGCACTGGGGATTGAACATGGATTTGTGCATGCCTGGCAAGAGCTCTATCACTGAACTATGTCTTTCCAGACACCCTTTCACTAGGGAAATGAGCCAAACCCGTGTTTGTGAATGGTGAGTGGAAGGTCCTCAGATTTTGTGTGTGTATGGTAAGGGAGAGAACAGGATTCCCAGAACTTGGTAAATATGTAGTTAATTTTTTTTGTGTATATATAAAAGTCCCAGTCCTGTCTACACAAACTCTCTAGCAATGGGTTTTAGGCCCTTATCTTTCTTTTTTACTTCCTCCAATCCAATGGAACTTAAAAAAAAAAAAAACCCATGTTCTTTAAATAGAATCTGAAAACAAAAACAGGTCCATATGGAGCTTTGGATGGACACCAGTGCAGCCTCAGTCCTTGCCCCACCTTGCTCCCTCTCATCCTGAATCTACCCAAAGCCTGAGCTCTGCAGCCTTCACTACTCAGGTCAAACACTGTAATCCTTTCATGTCTTCTTTGAAAAACAAAACAAGCAAAGAAAAACCCAACAATGCATTTCATTAGGGTTGCTTACCAGTGGCTACACTAATTACTTACAAAAATAAATGTCCCATCCAGGACAACCATGAACTGCATTTAAGTCCTCAGGGAGGGGTGGGGCCTCATGAGCTCCTTTCCTGACCTATGACCGGATGTTGGCAGGTCCAGTCTTGTGTAGGTGATCACAACTACAGTGGATCTGAGAGCACAAAGCCACATCAAGTTCATTGTTAGTATTCTATCCCCTGCCCTACCTATTCCAGCTCGTGTATTCCGTCTACCCCTTCTACAATGGGCCCTGAGCCTGGAGAGGACATATGTCAATTATGGATGGACATTCAACCCTCACTTTGGGTGGTTCCCAGCCAGAGACTTTAGGTTGGGCTTGCGATACTAGTACTGAGTTCCCTGTTGTCACGTGGGCACATCTTGCCTGGCGGTCGGTAGCACGGTACACAGGATCCACAGCTGATTGCTGATGGCTTTTCTCTCCCACAGCCTGGAGAGACCTCCATGCATTAGGAGGGCTACCAAGCCATCAGGAAGGAAGCTTCCTGTCCAATTCCAACTTGATTTCTGTCCCGTAAACAGAGTATGTGGTGTCTTCAGCAAAGGAGTATTGCGGGCGGGTCACACAAAGGGGTCTGGCAGGTAGCCAACAGCAGAGACAATTCTTGCAGGGTTTTTTTTTTTTTGCCTCAGGAGCGAGCCTTCTTGACAAAACATGGTAATTCCTAAGGCGGAGTCTTGAATACTGTCTTGTGATACTAATAACTTTTGATTTTAAGCGGAGGCAGAAAGCAGTTCACAAAAATCGGGATTAGGAAAGCAGGGAAGATTTTAGTCAGACACAGTGAGAGAAAGGAAATGTTTTATTTAAATTAAAATGGCTATACTGATAGGAAGTCAGTAAAGCTCAAATGAAGTCATGGAAACCTTGAATCCACTCCCTAAACAGAATCAAAATTGCTTATACATTGCCAAAATAGCTCCATTAATATAAAGTAGATTTACATTTCTTAATATGAGAAAACAACAAGGTAGGTTAGGTTCATATAACAAACAATACATGCTCTCTCCAGTCTCAGGAATACCCAAATGTATTCTGGCTTGACTATGAGAGAAGGGACCACATCTCGATGGCTGGTAAGCAAGCCAATGAGGTGTGCAGCAAACAAAAGCTGTCACTAGAAACAACTCAACAGGCCATTATGAGTGTGAGCCTATCACAGTCAAAATCTTCCACTGTGACCGCGGGCACCAGAGAGGGAGGCTGATAGGGCTGTGTCCAGAAACGACAAAGAGAAGGCTACACCGGAAGGGGAAAGAGCCGGCAGCGAAATGCGACTGTCCACTCCTCAGCTCTTTCGCATCAGACTCATTCTCAAGTGCCAAGCATTGTTCTGCTCCTTAAATGCCACTGCAGTCATCTCTAAGCTAGGTCCTTTTTTTGAGACAAGATCTCACTGTGTAACTCAGACTTGGCTAGAACTCATTATTTTCCTGCCTCAGCCTCCCAAGGGCTGGAGTTACAGGCATGTACTACCATGAATAGCTTGAGGAAGATTATTCAGCAAATATAATGCTGGATGGTACACAGCAATGGAGCGAAGGGCCAGGGAGCTATGTTTTAAGAAACTAATGTGGTAAGCACTCAAGAGCTGCTGATTGGCAAGGCCACAGGATTTAAACCCAAAGCCAAACTCACCACCACCATCCGGTTCTTCTCCTAGAGGTGATCTGTGGCTGGTGAAGCCTGACTAACAGAAGGCACCGATGCACAAGTTAACAGTATACAAATGAAAACCCCAGTCTGCACTGAGTGATAGGTGTCTGGTGCTCCTAAGCCAGTGAGCCTCTCCAATTTTTAGCAAAGGAGGATAAGATGCCTACCTCTACCCAGGAGATCTGGTAATGCCTCAGGCAGGATGAGTTATCATAGGCCAGAGGACAGTTACGGATACCTCTGGCCAACTTGGTAGGGTAGGGGAGGAGACAATGCATGGCTCAGGGGTAATGCTGGCAGACAAGCTTGAAGGAAGAAGAACAGAAAAAAGACCAAGAAACAAACCCTGCTTCCCCCCTGAAAGCATATACCACAAAGAGTTAAGGTGTCTTGAAAGTATCTGCCTACAAATAAAAACTTAAAACTGAAAAGGACAAGCTACATTACCCTCAGTATATATCATATAAATCAGTTCTCAAAAAAAAAATACCTTCCAGGTACAGACATACTATTTATGTTACAATATATACAAATATAGCAGAATAATTCAATTTATTGCTAGAACTTTATTTGGTTATTACAAAATCTGTAAGTGTATATACCTATATATTAAAAAGAGGGGAGTACAGAAGGCAGCCAGAAGAGCAAGAGTTACCTTCGATTACTAAAGTGCCAGGTTAATGTTGAAGTATATTTTCAACCTTTCCAAGAAAGTGAGAGCATAGATGGGCAAGGCAAACGTTAAGGCAAAAACTTTAAAGAGGAAGAAACGTGAGATAAGAAGACAAATGCACAGGAAAACTTTATCTTGCCTTCACTGAGTTTTAATATTTCTACGGAAAAGAAGCCAACACCAAGATGAATAGCATGTAAAGGAAATAAAATACAAAACCAAACCAAACCAAACTCAAACATCTTTAAAGGTTTAAGGTTACTAGACTATCCACAGCTGACAGGGCAACTGGAACACAATTACACAGGAATGATCAGTACAAAGAAGAAGCCTGCAGCACCGCAGCTTCTCCAGTGTTTCTTTCCCTGACTGTTGCGGTGAAGCGAGGTTCTGTGTGGTCTTCCTCTCATGGTGCCCAGAGACACCTAAGAACAACACCGGAAGTGCTCTCAACATATAGTGACATTGGTGACCTTCTAGTCAGACCTGTCATGACTTGCCCACAAAGTATGCAAAGGGGAAAGCATTGTACTTGTTTTTTTAGATCTGGAAAAACTGCCAACATCACCAGGAGGCCCCTGCTCCAAGCCTGCTTGGCACTGAGGCATCCTCTGGACAGAAAACCTACAGCTGCTTCTGATTGAACAACCGTGAACAGAGCATGGGATTTCACATTTCATTGAACTGCATTTGCCTTTCAGTGTCCCGCCAAGAAATAAAGCAAATTCTTGGGTAGTTCAGATGTAAAATTTCAGAGGGTGTTGTTTCCCGAGTCAAAACTC